TTGTGCTAGTTCAAGAGGGTGGCTGTTGGATGAACCTATATCTGAAAGCAGGATTCTGCAGGATGAGAATATGGTCATAGCTGTCAGAAATATCGTGGGAATCAAGGTTAGAGATGATAGCAGAGACCATGGAAGCGGTTATATACATATCATTCAACAGAGAATCACTTCTAAGTGGGAAATCAGGCAAGGATACTCCAGATGAGTCAATAATTTGAGGAGAATTTATGGGCAAAACATTCAGCAGAGATGATAACACCTCAAATCGATTGAAGAGGGTGGAAGGAATAGAGACCTTGTACTTATTTAATATCCTGTTACAGAGACAGCAGTAATCACGAGAGACAATATTTTTAGGGGCTATGCGTTGCCAATAGCGAGTATTGCATTTTCACCTGGTATTTCCGTGAAGGGATGAAAGCGTGGATGACGGCTTTGACCCAAGAGGAATCTTCAGTGGCGCGATTTTCAAGTGGGAAGTTAAAGATGATAGTCCAAGGGGTGTCACGAAGAAAATCCATGAATGAGACCCAATCAGTGTGCTTATAACGGAAAGAGATCTTATAGATAGAGGGTTCCTGTTTAATGGGTACTTAGGAAGGGATATTAAAGCGGTCCGAGTTACCAAGAAGGTAGTATTGAAAATTTCGGCAAAAGAGAGGAAGTATGAAATAGATCCAGTAAAGAAGACTGTTAATCGGTTGAGCTAAGGAAGCAAATATGGAACCCTTCAATTTCAATGAGGGATTGGGCAATGGAAAAATTACATGTCACTATACCGGCAACACTAGAAGATTGTTTTCACCTTGTTTTAATGTTCTTGGTTCTTTCTTTTTTTATTCCCCATTTTTCCTCGGGTACCTATTTGTTCTACTGCAAGTTGAGCTATCCGAGGTTTTTCCAGACGAGTACCAACATTTATATATGTATGTATGCATGTATGTATAGATAGATATTCACATATGCTCCTTATTTTAAAAGTGATCAAGAAGATATTTTGGTACATTTTTTCGTTTAGTTGATATGTCGGAA